TTTTAAAAGCAGTGCTTATAGAAGACTGAGCTGGGGCGCTTTTAGTGACCGGTTCTGTCAGCAATGAAAGGCATCCCTTGCCCAAACATGGATCACTGTGAAAGGCAGGTGTGTGTGTGTGGGGGGGGGGGAGATATCTGTCTATAAAATGAAAGTGGCTCTGAATGGTCAATGCTTGTTCTCACTTATGCAATTGCTCAGGAACTCCAGCTTGACCAACCACTCCAAGAATTATTGCTTAGAACAGGAATGGGAACTGGATCTGCCCAGCAGGCTTAATCCAGACCTCTCCCAATTCTTATGGGCTAATTTGACATGTGGGCAGAGCATCACAATGACAGGTGAAGCATTCTCCTTTGCTCTTGTGGTTTGAAATCAAATTGTGCAGATAAATGAAAGCAGGGAAGTTGCTTTCAAACTGCACAGGCAAAGGAAGTGTTTCTCTTATGCTTCTTTTGTCTGTGTGGTTTGAAATCAAACCGCAGGGGCAAATGAAGAGGGGTTTGCAGCAACTGATGATCTGATACTCAATGGCTGCTGCTTTCTTTGCCTGTATGCAATCCAACCATGCAGGCAATGATTTGCTGTATGTGTCAAGTAACTGTTCAGTACTGACAGCACATCTTGCTTGCCAAGGAACAACCAGGAGTGCACTTCAGGGGTCCTGATTATTTCCTTTGCAGCCACCAATTTTCCTTGCCCCACCTAGGATATATCATGGAGTAGCTGGGGGTGATTTTGGGGGAAATGACACTGTGGGCTGTATTAGAAACCCCTGCTAGGCCTACAGGTAAATAGATATTTAAACTAATTTGCAATGCATGTTATTTACACTCTTCCAGTTTCTGAATGTTGCTGCCAAAAGCAACTGATGTGCACTTAAGACTGCACTCCTAAGTATGTCTCCTCAGCAGTAAATTCCATTGAATTTAGTGAAGCTTACTCCCAGGTAAGTGGGGTTAGGATGACGGTCTTTTTTCTGCTTCTTATTGTGAATTTCAAAAACCAATAGAATGCATCACTCATTATTGTTCTTTACATATGAAAATAAATTATCCCTTGTTACCTGTAGATTTTATCTCTGCTCCTCAAAGTCCTAGCCTGTTTGTCAAAGTGGGGAGAACCATCTGAATTTGACTGCTCATTCTAAAAACTCATTTTAAAATTAAACTTCGCCTTTTCTTCTCCCCCCCCTTCCCTGATGCCTGAGTGAGGGGAATGAGATTGTGAAACTAAGGTAGAGAGAGTGGCTACAATATTAACCTCACTTACCTGGGAGTAAGCATCACTGAATTCAAAGAGGCTTATTTTCTGACTAGACACGGTTAGGTTTCACGGTCATTAACTATGAAAGGGAACATGGAGGGGAGATAATTGATTTGCAAATATCTATTGATGGCTGAAAGGGAAGTAATAGTTCTGATCTATTCTGCCTTGGCCAGACCACACATGGAATAATGTTTATGGTTCTGGGCTCTACAATTTAAGAAGGATATTGACAAGCTGGAATGTGTTCAGAGAAGGGCAACCAATATGTTCAAGGGTCTGGAAAACTAGTCTTATGAGGAATAGATGAGAGAGGAGAAATGATAGTCATCTTCAAATATCTTAAGGGCTGTCACATGGAAAATGGAACAAGCTCTGGAGGGTAGGACACAATACAATGGATTCAAGTTAGAAGAAAGGAGATGCAGAAGAACTTTCTGACAGTAAAAGTTGTTTGACAGTGGAATGGGTTCCCATGGGAGGTTTTTAAGCAGAGGTTAGATGGCCATCTGACATGGATGCTTTAGTTGAGATTCCTGCATTACAAGACATTGAACTTGATGACCCTTGGGATCCCTTCCAACTCTACAGTTCCATGATTCTGTGAAATATGAATATCCGTTGTGTGTTACATAACATATATTTCTGCATTAGTGAATGAAATGGAACACCTGAGTGAGATCAACTATTTGCTGCAAAACAGAATATACCAGATGAAAGTGCAAATGAATATTGGAACACATTGCAGCATATTTGTCCATCCCTCATCATCTTTATCTTCTCATTTCTGAGCAGCTAAAATGCCAAGGTGGCAGCTAGCTTACTTCTGCAGGTTGGCTTGGGCTCTCCTATGCTCCAGGTTTCATTGGCTTGACAGTGGATGACACGGTAACCTGTGTAGTAGTACCCGGGGTCGCAGATCAACATTAGTTGTGCATTGTACTGGTACTGGGTCTCGTAGATCAGCCTCCATCTACCATGCTCCACAGCAATGCTGCCAATATCAGGGCAGCTAACCGCTGAGCACCAGCCATGGAAAGAGAAGAAAACAAAATTAACAAAATTACCTGCAAGAAGCCAGACAAAAGACCCACCACCACAGCTGAACATTGACCAGTTGTGTGACCTGATGAAGCTTACAAGTAAGGCAAAATGGCTGCTTCTGCCACCGTTACTGAGCTCAAATATTTGGCAATGCATGAAAGTCGTTGTGAGTTGGTCACAGAGAGGGATGCTTGGAGGGAGCAAAAGGCAACACATCACAATTAGGATACTGCACCCTCATTCCAACTGAATAATGCTATCCATGTGACACTTGATAGTTTGTCATTGTTTAATGGTTTGTAAGATGCACTGGGAACCTTTTTCTGCCTGAAGTTTGGGTTTGTTTCTTTTTAAGTTCTAAACAAACAAACAAACAAACAAAGAAGATGAAATAGCTAAATGGATGAATAGCATATTGGAAACTCTGTGATCGGAGGAAATATACATCCAGACCAGATGCTGAGGAGGACAAATGGCAAGGAAGGGTAGGTCTATCAGAGGTAATTAGCCGTGCAAACTGAAAAGGGAATCTCCTTATTCTTGAGCACCAGATGATAGAAACAGACTACAAAGGAAGGTTTATGCTTCCATGTCCTTCTTCAAGTCTTCCCAGAGGAATGACTGGCCATTGATGGAAACAGAATGTTGAACTACACAGACCATTTGTCTGATTCAGCAGAGCTCTTGTATTCTTCTTAAATAATGCCAGATGTTTAGTTCAACAAACATATAACTCTCAAAAGGGAAACATTACATAAAAGGGGACTTACCCACGCATGGAAGAGGGTTATTGCCATTACTCCACTGCCCGTTTGTCAGGCACTCAATGCTGGATGCTTCCTGGGCTTGAAGGTGGAAACCCTGCTTGCACTGGAAGACTGCTTTGGTGCCCACTGTATACTCCTTGCCAAAAACGACCCCATTCTTTGGCGCTTTGGGAACTCCGCAGGAGAGGGCTGGGAAGGAAATGGTGAGGTGTGCCATCATTTGCCTTACATGGGGTTTTTGCTTCTCTAATTGGATTATTCCAAAAGTAGCCCTTCTTGCCTATCCACAACCTCCCACCCCAGAAACACAGGAAGCAGCAATGCTGTGATTGCAAAATTTGGAATAAAAATATAGATCAATGCAAGTGGTAGAGATAATCCACTCCTTCTCCTTGCCTCCCCAACAGCTTTGACCAATGAGTTAGCAGTGGTTCCAAAGAAAGGGGTGGGGTCTGAAACAGCTGGCCCCACTTCAGCACCTTATTTGCAGGCAAATAAAAATTAGGGGGCAGCTGTGTTGGTCATGATTCAACCATGAAACAATTTGGGGGGTCAGGGGAAGAAGGAATTTGCAGTTGCAGTGCAGAAGGAGCTTCTTTAGTTTTTTCTTTTACTTTTCAAAAGGGAAAAAGGAACTCTCCATAATTACAAGTCCCTCCCTTCAAACAAGGAAAGTACGAATTAAGTAGGTACACCTGAAAAACAAGCTGAAATTAATTCCCACCCTAGTCCTATTGCTGCCCAAATCATTTTGCCCCATTCTTTAATTTTGCTTTGTGCCCCCCCCCCCCCCGCAAAAAAAACCCCACATCCAAATGCCCAAAATGAAGTGAAAGGAGATCTGTCCTATTCCAGATCTGGAAGCGGCGTTGGCAGAACTACACCTGGCTGTATGATGCTTAAGTATCTGGCCTCAAAGGCAAATGAAGGCAAAAAATAGAGTCCAAGCTCATGACACAAAAATCCAGACCGAGTTCAAATGGACAACAAACAGTAGACAGGAATGGACATCTGGGGAAGAATTCTCATAAGCTCCTCGGTGGGGAGTGTCATATAGGTAGCGAATGACACAAAGTACACTGTAAGGATCTCACAGTGCCATAGCTATGGGGGTGAGGGATGCTAGCTGGGTTTTTTTGCCCTGGGTTAAACCTCCAGATGAGTGGCATTGAGGTTCCCAGGCTGTGTTCATGTGTACACAAATGCATGCATGTGTATGTGTGCCAAACTGCGTCTCTGACCAGGTTGAAATAAAGCCCAGTTTTTTCACCCCTGGGGTCTCATTCCCTACAGTGGGGCCCCTAGAACCACCCCATCCACTTGAAACAGTGCCAAATGCCCCACTCTTCCTTGGCATAAGGAGAATGGGAGCTGTTTAAACTTTGGATGAAATGAAGTGGCAGCTGGGATAAGGGGGAAAAAAAGAGGCCTGCACAAACGGATCTCACTGGCCGGCACAAGGGTCATCAGTCGCATTCTGGCTTTGCAATGATAATTGTGTGCATGTCATCTGAGCCACTAAGGAGCTCAGCAAATCCTTTGGCAAGGCCAGGCGTCTAGACGGCTGCTTGTGATGAATACCAATTTCACACAGCAGCAGCAGGAACAGCAGCAAGCACAGCAACAGGCGCCTGGGAATCCTTGCCCCTTCCAGCTCCAGTGCTGTAATCTCTTTAACCTTCAGGTGTTATCTGATCAAAACAATCAGGAGGGCCTGGTATGCAGCTTATCCCCACCTCCCCATACAGTCTATTCCTTTTTTTTTTTTCAAATCACTTTTCTGCCTGATTCTTCTGAACTTCTGCACACAGACTCTTTTCTCTCTCTTTTTTAGATACTCATTTTGTACATCCTATCCATGCAAAACATGAGGGCCATTTTCCGATTGCAGGGCAGGACAACTGTGGAGCTGGCCCAGGGGAAGGGCTGTAGCTCAGTGGTACAGCATCTGTTTTGCATGCAGAAGGTCTTAGGTTCAATACCCAAGGGCACCTCTTGCCTGAAATCATGGAGAGGTTAGTGTAAACAATTCTGAGCTAGGGGGACCAGTGGTCAGACTCAGCATATGACAGTTTTCTATGTTCTGAAATATCTGCTCAGAGCTCACACAGTAGACAGCTTACGCTGTCCCTCAGCCCATCTGCTCAGCAGGCAGAAGGGAATTTGCCCCTTCCGTATAAATCAAGGAAATACTAGTGTCAGGGCTGGATGGTGGGGGTGGTGGCTGTACCTGAACCCAGACTTGGAACATATATCCCTCAGTTAAAGCTTGAAGCCCAAATTGCAGCAGACCACTTTGTTATTCATGCAAGGGCAGCTGACTGGCGTGAATTAAAGAAGCTTTTAAATGCAAACTGTATCAAATTTCTCCCCCATCCCTAACAGCACTGACCAAAGTCGGGGGCCATCAACACACACCCTTATTCCTTTCTGTACACAAGCTATACAGGTGTTGAACACTACATGCAAATATCTGTATAAGTAGACAGCCCAGGTATTTGTGTAATGCTGTTTAATATACATCCATGAAACCATAGTGCAAAACTACAGGATGATGATGCTCAGCTTGATCTCTCAGCTTGAACTTCAAAACTAGGAACTAGTGCCTGAGCTTGCTTTTTCCTTCTCTTCCCTCCTTGCCCCCCTCTTTTTTCCCTTTTTTCCTCCTCCCTTCCAGTCCCTGAGGGCATGGGCTGTCTTATCACTGATATTTATAAGCGGCTTTGGAAAGCAAATTTTCACCTTAAGAGCAAAGGTAAAATGCTTTAGATATATAAATGGTATAAATACTGTGGTGCATTATATATATATATAGAGAGAGAGAGAATGAGAATGAGAATGCTATTAGCTTGTTATAATAAAGGCTTTCCTCAAGTTGTTACAGCAGCCCAAATGCTTTTTCTTTTTTAAAACCCCGCTCCCCAGCAACGGTGTCTTGAAATCTGAATTCCAAACCATTCCCCGCTCCCCCACCCCGCCAAAAGTCAGAATGAATGATCACAATTTTACTTGAGTGCAGACATTTTGGCCCCTCTTGAGTTATCTGCTCCATAACTGTGATATTCCACACTTTAATTAACCATCTTTTAACATCTGGTATGCTTGCTTCTATTGCCCTGCATAGCTTCCAGTTGGATGATCTCCACTAATTCTATGTCAATATACAACCTAGTTAGTCTGAGCGCAGGCCTGTCCAGACCAGCTGCAGCTCACCAAAAAGTTCATTAAGCCACTAAAGGCGGCCCTTGACTTCCATCCACTTCACTTCTACCACAGATGGTCAGGCAGAAATGGACTCTGCTACTGGTTCGTCAGAGAAGGTGGAGGCACCCCTTTGGCATCAAAATGACATCCCAGTTTGCAAAATTTGGCAGAATGTGGTATGATGAGTCTTTGTTTACATGCAGCAGAGAAACCTGGTTTTTCAGGATGGTAATAAATTTCCCATCTGCTCCTCCACGATACCCAGCAGAGAGTACTGCTCTCCAGGAGTGATGTAAAAGCAGACCAAAATATATGGCTTTTTGAGGGAAGAAGCTAGAGTGGGTATTTTCCTCGGAAAGAAATCCTACAGTCTTCAACTGGGAGACACCTGCTGGCATAGTGGTATTTGTAACTGTGATGTGCTAAGGAAATGAAGCGCGAAGCAGGACATAGATTTGGGAGTGCCAATAAGCCACTAGCAAACTCCAAAAAACCAGAGAAGGTTGTTGAGCCAGGAGGCACTGGCTTCTATGTTTTCCATGTTTCAACTACTTTTCCATGTGCAGTGTAAGCTCTTGAAAAAGGCATAAGGGAACTGCTAGGGAGGGTAAGTGGGCTGGCTGGCGGCAGGCAGCTCCTCTTGGCTCATTTCAAACCAAGTGTGGGTTAAATAGATAATTCAGGCTCCATGGAGCCAAGGAGCTCAGCCTTCACTGATCCTACTCCACACTCGAATGGAGCACCCTTACTCTCAAAAGAAAAATGGGAAAGGTTTCTGTCTATTCAACACTGAGAGTGCATGAATTTATATTCCATGGCAAGTGGTGTCTATTTGTTCCTTGGGCTACATCAACCTGCTTTCAAACCTGGAGCCCTCCAGAGGTTGTTGGACTCCAACTTCCATCAGCCCCAGTCAGCATGGCCAATGGTCAGATATGATGGAAGGCAGCAGGCTCTGGGGAGGCTGAGGCCTATCAGAATAGAGTAGTTGCTTTGGGTCCCCACTGTGAAAGGACATGTGGATCCAGAATTGGTCTCCACAGTCACTTACAGTCTCATTGTTAAAACCGTGTTTATGGAAGACAATCTTACTTGGCTACAAATGATCGCCAAAGAAGTAGAAGAGGCCCATCACATATAAATATGTATTTTGAGAGAAAATACACATTTAAATACATATTTTGAAATGGTTTTTTAAATGTAGCAATTGATAGAGACTTGGAAAGAAGCCTGCAAATTACTAGCCCACCAAGAGGCTAGTAGCTAGCATGCTGGCTATGGCAGAGGGGAAACTCAGTCCTCCTTGGTCTGGAAGAGGGATAGTAGTCCACCTGTGTTTTCATGCTGGTTCTGGGGAAAGGGACTTTTTTCCCTCCATGGCTACCCTAGAAAGCAAGTTGGCTGGCGACTGAACAACCTTCCTTCCTTCCTTCCTTCCTTCCTTCCTTCCTTCCTTCCACCAAGACAGCACATTCACTCACATCAAATCCCAAGCACTTCCTTGCATGTAGATCATTTAGCCACAAACAAATGCAATGCCTTGCGACTTTACTGTGCTGTGACAGTGAAGTACACACACACAGCAAAACTGCCAAGGTAAATCACAAGTCCAGAGAAACCCGGAAAGAGTTTTCAGTAAGCAGCAAAAGTGACCACTGGCAACAGCTTGACCTAGTCTGAGAATAATAATAATAATTTTCTCTCTGATATTTCATGTGCTGCTGTGTGAACTATAGCTGTAGGAAGCTCAGCTGGAACTTTCTTCATTCCCCAAAAGCGGCACACGTTGCCACTTGATTTTTTAAAAAAATATTTTTATAACGTCTCAGGAGCTGGCATTATTCAATGGAATCTGCCCTTTCAGGGCAGTCAGTGCTTTGGGGATGGTGGGATGATAATTGCTGCACATTATCACTTGGCTGCCCTGGGTTCCAGCAGCTAAAAATCAGCTGGCTCTTCATTTCAGAAGACACTGATAATTAATTCCTGCTTTCACAGGTGGAGATGTGCTCGCACCGGTGGGTTTTTTTAACATGTTGCTCTCAGTGGGATTTGAAAGAGTTGCAGTTACCATGGTAACCCCAGCCTAGTGCTGAGTAGGCCGCACCGCCCAATTCTGCTGCTCCACTCAAAACTAGCTGCTTTCATCCCACTTCTGTTAGACTGGGCTCTCTCCTTTTTCAGTGAGAAGGAGGTACTGTAAGATTCTTGCAGCGATGCCCTACTTAGACTACTGGTGGATGTTTAGTCAGAAACACTTGATTAAAGATCTGATAATCCAGTTGTTCTTGTGTGACAATGGATTTTGCTGATCTAGCAGAAACTCTTTTTGAATTCCCTTGAACTTCCCTGTAGATTTTGCTCAAGGAGGAACTTTCAAATTCACTTTGACTCCCATTTAGGGGGCCGGGAGAAGCTGCGGATGACTGAGAGGTGGTTGGAAAATTCCATTAGGCTGATTGCTCCTTTTGGGGGGGCTTCCCTCAAAATGTTTCATGTGAGGAAAGCAATCCAAGTTTGCTTTAGATTGGGATTGTAACTTGAGGGACTGGTGAGAACTTGGGACAGCCTTCAGAAAAAAATGGGAAGACGAAAAGTGAAAATCATCATTTTGCTTGAATTGCAAGTCCAAGTCCAAGAAAAAGAGATGTGGTCATGAACATTTGGACACCTTCGACAAGATAATTCTTGTGCTTCAGACCTCTAATTTATGCAATATAACAGCCCATTTTTCCTCACTCCAAAAATATATGTAGAGTAGGGTAAATCATAAGCCTAAATAAACAATAGAAATAATGTGTTCATTTCACAGCTTCTCCCTTGCCTACCTTGGCACAGAGGAATGGCTTCATTCCAGTGGAAGTAACCCTGTGGGTGCCTTGAACACGTCGCAAAGCTGTGACCAACAAGGCGGTAGCCGGCATCACAACTGAACTGGATGGTGCTTCCTGGCTGCAAACCAGTGTGGCTGAGGATGGAACCGTGGAGAGGAGGTGGAGGGAGGCTGCAATAAGGGGCTAGACAAGAGGGAAGAAAACACACCCACAAGAGTGTGAGAAAAACATGAATTGCTCTTGCTCACATATACATCTATATTGCTACACAGAAGCTGGGTTCAGATGACCCCACCTGCAGGCACTGAAAAAATACCACAGGCTGGCCCTGCCTCCTATGTATTCAGCTGGTGTGTGAAAGGTCTCTGTACATTGGTACACACATAGATCTCCTTTTGATGGTTGCCAAACATGCTGATGGCAGAAGGTGTGGTCACTGGATGCCTTGGGGGCAGGGAATGGCATAGCTCATGTGGTCACACAACCCTCTGAACCCTTGGAACACATATAATTGTGTTGTCCAGAACAATTTCTTTAGTTTAGTTTTCAAAGCCCTTTAGTATCTTGATTGCTTGTCACTGAACTGTGCCCAGCACATCCGGATATGCATTTATTTCTGCCCCACCCTCCAGTCCGAAAGGAACCCCCAGCTTGTTTACAAGAGGTAATAAAAATAAAATTAACAACTGCTCAGACCATTAAATTCAAGCAATTAAAGTCACTGTATCAACCATAAAACCAGCAAAAAATAATAATGCGGATATCTGGCATCTGTATCAACAATGCAATGATGTTAGGAACTGTGGCAGCACAAATTACAACTGCGAACGAACATTTATTATAAATGTTAAGAAATGTACCAGTAGAGGAGATCCTCAGGTCTGGGAGCTAAATGCAGCTCTCTAGACTTCTCTAATTAGCCCCCAGTGAGTTCTTTTTCCTGGATGGAATGTGTC